GCCATAGCTGAGCTTCAAGCACACCTTTTGAAACGAAAGTCCCACAGACGGCGCCAAATGGTAACACAAAACTCCTCGACCGGCTGGAACTTGAGTAATCGCCTTCCTTCTTGCCGGTTTAACGTCGTGCACCTACAAAGAACTCTAACACCGGAGGGGTTTTCCGGTGAAGAGCCTCTGAAGCTTAAGTCAGTGTGTATTCAATCAATTCTCAAGAGTAAGTAGTAGAATGATCGTGTTGAAGAAGAAAGGCTCACCCCCTTTATATAGGGGTGAGATACCTGACCTAGGGCTGCCCGGATTTGATGAGCTGTCTGCCCTAGCTGCCCGTCCGTACACACCAAACACGTGTGTCAGAGGCGGCCGTCGCCACTATCGCCTGCACCAATCCTCTTTGGACGCGTGTCCTCCTGCACATGGGGTAGGCTGTCAGAGGTGGTTATCGCTATCCACCACTGCTTTCTCGACACGTGTCCCCCTGCACATGGGGTAAATATTCTCCTGGAATTCTGTCAGAGGCTTCCTTCACGCGCCTGTGACTAGGCCGAACAGCGTGGTGTTAAGTCCTCGAAGTAGTCGACCTGCTGAGGTCGAATAAATTGCTCGATCGCGTATCTGGTCCAAGGATAGTTCGGTCGACAGCCTTGCTTGGTCGACTAGTTAATTGCTCGATTTCTTTGGCTTCCTCATAATATGACCTCCTCGACTGGTCAACAGACCGGTTCAGCCTTGTGGGTATAATATCCCATATCAATGTCCATAATCCCTATGGAATCTGCAGTATCTGCCTGACCTAGGCTTGGTCGGTCCCTCAAATCTCGTCACTGGCTACGTGACCTCCTTACTCTCCAGCTTCTCCTCGATGGCCGCAAGGACTTCGCCCATTTGGGCGTTAATAGGAGTGAACTTGTTATATCGTTGACCATTGGGTAGCCGAGGTCTCTCTTGCCAGCGGTCCTCTCGCCCTCCATGAAACCGCCCCTCCTCCCTCGGCAATGCTTTCTTGGATGAACCATTCTTTGGGGGATTTCTCCTAGGTGATCCTCTCCTGGGCGAGTTCGGCTTTTCCTTCCTATGGTCAGGCTTCGCCACCTCTTCGATTTTAGCAAACTCTACCTCCGTCTCTTCTAAATTGATGTACTTCTTGCATCTCCTCAACACCTCATCATACGTTCGAGCGGGTGTCTTTGCCAACGACGTTCGACACAGTCTTGGTCACAGACTCCTGATTAATCCTCCCGCCTTGACCTCATCGACTGCCATTGGGACCTCCAGGCACATCTGGTTGTATCGAGCAACATACTTACATAAAGATTCTTTCTCGCCCTGCCGCATCGCCATCAAAGTGAGGTATGTTTTCTCCTGCGCGACTGCACTTGAATATTGGTTGGTAAGTTGTCCTGAAAAATCCTCAAAGTCTTTGATCGACCCCGGAGCTAATTGATGAAACCAATCTAAGGCTCCTCCTCGTAAGGTCGACAAAAACGCTCTGCAACTAACCGGGTCCGAATACCCGTGCAACACAGACATGTTCTCAAAAGCCCTCACGTGCCTCGACGGATCGCTCGAACCATCGAACATCAAGCTTATCTCCCTAAAACTCGTAGGCAATGGTGCAGCCAGGATTTCCCTAGAGAACGGGTGTCCTCGAGCACGCCTATTTGGCCTTCATTCCACATTCTCCTGCAACTGCCGAAGCTGCTCAGCCAACCTCTCCATTGCCCTATTTCTGTGCTCGCCTCCTCCACCATAACTCGACACATCCTCGTCTTGCGTCCCCGGCATCGTGGTTGGTGTGGTAGCCGCCTGGGACTTTTGGTGAGTGACTTGTTGCACAGCCTGCGTCGCCGTGTTAGCCACCATCCTCTGCATCTCCTCTCTCATCATGGTCACCATCTGTTGGGCGGGGGGTTGTGGTATTCCTCCCGCTGGCGGCGTCCCCGCCTGCACCAATGGTCCAG